GCCCTTCACTACCCGAAGGTGTCTCAGAGCAGCTTACAAACCCCTTTCCCTCCCCACAACAGACACCCTGAGAGGTAGGTGAGGCTGAGAGAACTCTGACAGAAACGGCTCTCTTTCAAGAACAGCTCTGACAAAACTATGGCTTGCCCAAGGTCATCCAGCAGGCACAAGTGGAGGAGTGGGGAATCAAACCCGGTTCTCCCAGCTCCTCCTACCTCACAGGGTGTCTGTTGTGGGGAGGGGAAGGGAAAGGAGTTTGTAAGCCACTCTGAGACACCTTTGGGTAGTGAAGGGCGGGGTATAAATCCATTCTCTTCTCTGCTTCTTCTTCTTCTATATTAACCTGAGAGAAATTTTACCACCTGGGGAAAAACTAAGGTCCCCCCCCCCATGCATAAAACATTGTTTGGTCCTTGAGATATTCTCAGTTCCTATTTCAAAACAAATCAGTTGATACTTAAAACAACATTAGTTGCGTGTTCAGATTGTTGTTGTTCAGTCGCACAGTCGAGTCCGACTCTCCGGACCCCATGGACCGCATCACGCCAGGCCCTCTTGTGTTCAAATTATGAGGGTTTAAAATGGGTTGAAATTCTCTTGTGCATGTAAACAAAAACTAGAAGGATATGTATGTATGTTATATGCAGCCCCATAGCCAGGAAATTCACCTGGGGGTCCTTTGTTCTCCCCACAAGTGGGGGGAGACTGCAAGTCTCTCTTTTCCCTCTCCATTCAGAAAGGGAGGAGAAGAAGAAGAAGAAGAGATTGGATTTATACCCTGCCCTTCACTACCCAAAGGAGTTTCAGAGCGGCTTACAAACTCCTTTCCCTTCCCCTCCCCACAACAGACACCCTGTGAGGTAGGTGGGGCCGAGAGAGCTCTGACAGAAACTGCTCTTTTTCAAGGACAGCTCTTATCAGAGCTACGGCTTGCCCAAGGTCATCCAGCCAGGTGCGAGTGGAGGAGTGGGGAATCAAACCTGGTTCTCCCAGATTAGAGTCCATGCACTTAACCACTACGCCAAACTGGCCGAAGAGGAGGCAGCCAGGCTCAACTTGAGCCATTGAAGCTCACTGAGAAGAGATGGGGAGAGGAACGAAGCAGAATGAGACCGGAGACAAAGGCTCTGTGAGCCAATAAAATCGAGGGTGCAGGATCTGGCTAAGGGGATAAGGAGTCAGGGTCCTCACAGCCCCTCCCCTTCAGCCTAGACACCCTAAGCCACAAGGAAAGTCAGGATATAAATCTGAATGAATTAGTAAATAGCATTTGTTAATAAATAATAGCTAACTCCCTGGATTGCATATGATTGTGTTCTTAAAACACAGAGAGATTCATTAGAAATTCAGCTTCAGAATGGCGCTTCGATGATTATAAAATGCTCGGCGAAAACCCATCAACAGTTCTGATCTTGTGTGTTTTTTTTCCATTTCTCATGCTGAATTGTTCCTCCTTCTGAAAAGCCTCAGTTATTTCTGAGTTCGGGAGGGGTTTCCATAAGTATTTTAAAGATTTGGGGGGCAGGGCACAGTGTTTGGATCTGTTTAAAGACCTCGCTGAGGCCCAGTAGGGTTTCTGGACACAGGCGTCTGGGTAGCATCTCTTTTGCCATTTTGTGGAAAACAAAACGCGCACAGACTTCGTAATCTCTCTGCTATCCTAATCTTGGATTTTGGGGGGTTTCGTCGAGCAAGAGAAAAATGTGCTCCCTACAAGAACATAGTTTGGGGATCCACTTCTGTTGCTTTTTTTTTTTAAAGCAAATTAAACAAGATCCCTGTTTGGAATTAGCATTAGAACAAAGTTTGAGTCCAGGGCACCTTTAAGACCAACAAAGTTTAATTCTGGGTATAAGCTTTCCTGTGCAGGCACACTTTAATGTATCTGAAGAAGTGTGTATGCATACGGAAGCTCATACCCAGAATAAAACTTTGTTGAGCTTAAAGGTGCCACTGGACTCCACCTTTGTTCTGCTGCTTCAGACCAACACGGCTACCCCACCTGAATCTAAGATTAGCGTTGTTATATGCTCTTAACTCATTAAATATATATATATATTTAATTGCCTAGTTTTCTAGGGGAAAAAATGCAATTCTTATTTTTAAACAATACTTGCTCATCTGCAAGGCCTTGCCATAGCACATACTTGTAGGTGTGTTAAAGCATCTTTCTCGAGCGGCAGTCCAAGGATGTGGAAGGATTTGGACTGGACTTGCACGCTTCATTACGGGAAGGCAGCCGTAGCTGGACCCCACAGGTTCTCGCCTACAGCGGGTGCAGAACCGGGCAAAATGGATGTGAAGCTCTCTTAGCCTTTCGATTCACGTCCGACTCTTCAATGGAACGGAGCGGAGGCAAGATATTTTTGGCCGGCTCTGTCAAAACCTAAGATGGTCTGTATGTAAGAATATATTTTGATAGGGCCCTTTTGCAGTATCATCATACTGGCGAGAGTCAGATTCACAGGACCGCGTTTATGTGACCTAGAAAATACATGGGGGTGTGTGCGGGTATATTTATAGCTCGATTTCAGAGTATAATCAAGGTTATAAATCAAGTGTTACAGGAAGCCTGTTTGGACATCTAGTCGTTTTTGAGATTAAAGACATGAAATAGCAGGATGGTTTCAGAGCAGATTTGAATAAGAAGTTGCCACGAGAAAACCCTGAAAGGTGTTCCCCCACCACCACCACCAGTCCCGATTCCCAAGTGAAAATTGCCTCCCATGATGGTCTGTATCTGCTTTTACAAAGTTTGCATTTAGTAAGTTCTCATGTTCCAGAGCTCTCTTAAAGCTGTTTTACTGAAGCGATCTTCTAGCAGTTATGTATATCACCCATTCAGCAGGTCAGGCAGTGTAATAACATCCTTGCATTAATCAGCAGCTCAGATTTATATCTGTGGCATCACACCGATAGAGGCTAAAATAAGCACCCACGATGTTTATATCAGTTATGTCAAAAGCATTGAGCCCAGAGATAACGGTTGGATTTAAATGGGAGGATTTTGACCGGATCCAGCAGTCCATCGTGAACTGAGACGTGCCCCTGTATACGTCATAATAAAATTTGGATTTTAGTTGATGAGTCTGCTTGATCCCTCCCCCCCCCCAGGAGAAAAGATTGATTTTTTTGCAAGATCGTAGGACTTCGTATCTTTTCCAGGAGTTGTTATCAGTCTGAGATAATTTTCAAGTAATAGCAGGGGTTATTTCCTGCAGGAGCGGAGCTCCGACAGTAAAGAGCCCAGGGGGCGGGCACATGCAATAAGCCCCACCCCCTGCTCCCAGCAGCCCTCAGTTGGGCCATGAGGAGCAAGAAGCAGCCAGGTAAGTTGCAGAGCCCCCCCCACCC